ATAATAGCAATATTATTTGTAAATATAAATAAAATATTCTTTTTATTTAATATTTAATTTCATTTTATATATTTGCTTTGTTGAATAATATTAATTTATACTCCCAAATTAATAAGATATTGAAAAATCATTAGTTTTTTATTTATATTAAAAAATACAATAATTATACAAATTGCTTTCCCTTTTTTTTATAAATCTAATATTAGGGGAATATTTATTATAATAATTAAATCTAGATATCTTCTGAGTAAAGAATATTAAATATATTATTTAAATAAATAGAATCTTTATACTTTTTTTTATAATATTTATATATAATAGGGTTTTGATATATGGTAATGTAATATTCTTTTTATTAATATTTATGGTAAATAATATTTCGGATATAATTTGTATATAATATTTCAATAAAAAGTTTTTTTGATTTAATTATTAAGTTTTTATCAATTAATCTAATTTTTAACCCTAAAAAACAATATTTATAAATATATTATTCTGTATATAAAAACATTTTAAAGAAAAATCCAATTATAAAAAGAAATGAATATATTTGCATATTTCTTATAATTTTCCAATATTTTTATTTAAATATAATTTATTAATATTTTCCAATTTATAAATATATTTAATAAATTCAAAACAAAAATCAGATTATTAGGGTGATTCAAATATTCTCTAAGTCAAGCTAGATAGAAGATCTGCTAATAGCTTTTCTTTTCGAATATTATTTAGCTTTTATTTAATATTTTCTTTAAAATCTTTTAAATATATTATAAAGATATTTATAGTTTTGTTTTCTTTTTGTTTTGTATATACAATTTTTTGAATTATTTATTACTATGTCACGGGAGAATTAAGCCTATATAAACTCAATTAGCCTAAGGCTATTAGTGCCGTCACTTTTAGTATGATAGTTATGAGCCCGGTATATATTTATAGTGTAATGGTATAATTCTTTATTTTATTGTGCTCTCTTGTAGGGTTTGGTGGATTTATTTATAAAAGAGTATTTCAATAGACCTATATTAGTTATCTGATCTTAGCCTATTAGAATTAATATGAGGATTCTGTTTTATTGTTTTGCTATATCTATATAGTTTATTAAAATCTAGTTGTATTTAAAAAAAAAATCTAGATTTGGTAGTACAAGGATATAGTAAGAGATTTGCGTATATATAACTCAATGAGACTAGTATAAAGAGATTACTGTCTATAACCAGCTAGTCAGCAATCTCGGGGGTGTGTTACGGAAGAATTAAGCCTATATAAACCCAATTAGCCTAAGGCTATTGGTGGCGTCACTTTTAGCGTGACATACTACTAATTCCTTTTATTTATAATTATATTATATATATATTTTTTAAAGTTTCCCTATTTTATTATTTTATTAAACAATTTATTTTTATATCGATATCAAATTGCTAATAATTGTTTTTCAAAATATTGAATAATATAATTTGTTTTTTTCTTATTTATTAAAAAATAGTATTTATTATTATTTTGAAATATAATTTTTATTTAAAAGAAAAAGTTTTTAGCTTTATTAATAATCTTTTTTTATATTATTTTAGTTTTTATAATTTAGAAGGTTTTCCCTGATTTAGAATAATAATTCTGGAAATTATATATATTATAATTATAGAGCTATTGTAATTGATTAGAATAATTATATATAATAAACAATTTATTACTATTTTGTGAATTTTCTTTATAATAGTTATTTCTTCTTTCATTTCTTGGAATTATTGAATTAATAATAAATTCTTATTATTAAAAGATTATTACAATTAGATTATTTATATATCAATATTAATTTCCTTAAAAAATTGATTAATATTTCTATTTAATTGATTTAGAATTATACTACACAAATTATAACCTCCAGATATTCTTTTTATAAAGATTATATTAATATTAATAGTTTTTTAATAAATATTAATTAATAAATTATTTTATTAAAAAATAAAAAGAATTATTAAAATAAATATTAATAATAAATCAATTAGGTGAAATATAATACCAAGATTTTTCATTAATTATTTTAAATTTATAAAAACTATACAATTTATATATATATATAGACTCCCTTTAGTATATAATAGGCCCGAGGGCTTACTATCACATATCTGATAAAGCCCTTTAGTCCATGACTGTGATAGATTCCTTTGAGATTTCGAGAATTCAATTGAAAACTAATAGAATTTCACATTTCTTAATCATTTCTAATATTTTAGATTTCTTTTTAGAATTTTCAGATTTTCAGAGTTTGAAAGTATTAGTTTGATTAATTTAAGAAGTTTTATTATTTTCAGGATTTTAAAGATTTTTAGGACTTAGATTATTAATTTCATTAGTTTACAAAATTCTATTATTTTTCAAGATTTCTAAATTTTGAATGTTATATATTAGTAAACAATTATTGAATTCTAATTTTATAGATTTTATTTATCTTCAAAAATAAAAGTTGAAAAAATAAAAATAAAAATCTATGAAACATAATTATTGTTTTATTAAAAACAAATCAACTTTTTCTTGAATTCTTTAAATCCTTTATTTTCAAAAAATTTCAATATTTTAAGAATTTCAAACTTTAGATTTTAGATTTTAGATTGATTCTTAATATTTTTATATTATAATATAGTTTTTTTGAAAATTATAAAGGAATTGAATCTTATAAAATAAGAATATAGATATTATATAATTAATTTTTGCTATAGGATTTAATAAGATTTTGATAATATAATAACAATTAATTATTAAATAATTTCAAAGCTTTTGAGAATAAAAATCTAAAAAGAAAAGCTTTATTATAGGTATTAATATAATATTAGTATTAGATTAATATTGTTCTAATATTAAAGAATTTTCATATATATATAGTTTTAAAAAAAGGGTTTGAAGAAATTAATGAAAAGTCTTATTCTAGGTTTACATCTTTACTCTATACTAGTCGTTACCTTGCATCAACTCTAAGAGTTGAGAAAAAGAAGACAAAACTCTATTGAATATAAATTATTATTTCATTGAAAGTAAATTGATTTCTTTTTCGAATTTTTCGAATTTTTTATAAGATTTAAGATTTTTCAGATTTTCAGATTTCGAAATACAAATCAGATTAGTTTGAACACTTTTATATTATAATATAGTTTTTTTTTTTAAATTTTAAAAAGGTTAAATTTTATAAAATAAGGATATAGACATTGCAAAACACTTATTACTATAAAAATCAATAAAACTTAGAAAAAGAAGTCGATTTAATAATAATAGACTAATTTTAAAACTTTTAAGAATAAAAGCTTGAGGAGAAGAGCTTTATTATAGATATAATATGAAATCAACATTAGATTAATATTATTCTAATACTAAAGAATTTTCATATATATATATAGCTTCAAAAAAAGGTTTTAAAAGAATTAATAAAACGTTTTATAATAGGCCTATACCTATATTTTATATACTAGTTATTACCTTGTATTGATTCTAATATATAATCTAATTCACGTGATATACTATTGGTTCGAGAAGAATACGAAAGACGTAGTACCCACGTATTCGTAGGTCCTAAATGTCTAATTGTATTCTATCTAAAGAGCTAGCTATGTAGGAAAATAGTAGGCCTTATATAGATACTACTGAAAGAGCTAGTTTCTTTCGCATTCGCTTAATCCCCTTTGATATAGTAGTCATTATATTGAAGTCATTTCTATAAAGTGAATACTCTTGTTTATACAAATAGCCTTTTCGTTATAATAGATTTATAGGACAATCTGATAGGAAAGTATTATTTTTTATTCAAACCGATTAATGATAATATTAATTAAAATTCGAATTCTAATTCAAATTTTGATATTATATTTTCTAAACATTAGGGAATAGTATATAGAAGTTTTAATTAAAAAAAAATAGAGTTTAAGTTTAAAGATTCAATGATATATTTTTTTATCAAATATTTTCGTAGGAATTATATAGTCGATTATAAGGGCTTAAACTTTCATTTGTTTATTCGATTTTTATATTGTATTGTGAGCGAAACGTTTTACTTGTTACGTGGCCTATTCTTGTAGCTAGTATTTATAGTTCTTTTTCTTATAATTTAAAAACAATAGTCAGCTCCTACTCAACTTATAATATATTTTATAAAGTATTATATAAAGCCTCTTTCTTCTCTTCTTTATTAGAGATATTATATTATAATAATCTTTCTATAATATATGTAAAGAACTACTCTATAATCCTATCACGTTCTACTCTTTTACAGTATAAAACATTTATATTTAAAACCTCTAAAATGTGAAGAATATCACGTGACATCTTAGTTCAAGGTTAGCTTGAACTAAGACGATTGTTATTATATAAGAGATAAAGAGATCCCTTAAGGATCTCTTTCCTCTTTAGCTTTCTTATTCTAGTTATTTGACCTCTATGATATGCTCTAGTATGCGATCGTGACATTAAATATATTTTCGAAAAGATTTATTAATAATTCGAATTTTAATTGAATTATTAAAATAGGGTTTTTCGGTATGAACTTATGCTTTTCCCTTTGAGTATCTTGTAAGTCTGTGCACCCACTTGTGACTTCAATCAACTGATATAGTACAGCATATCCAATCAAGGGCTAGACCTCGAGTCTTGATCTCTCTTCTTGTGGGTGATAATAGCTCCTAGCTTTGAATTCGATCAACTGTTTAAAAAATAGATGACGGATCCTAAAGGAGATTACCCAGCTGTTTTGCCCCCCAAATCATGATATTCTGCCCACTATCTACCAACCCTTGCCTACTGAGAGGATTCCAACTCTGTCATATTGTGATTAACAGTTCGGCCACTTGTAATGAAAGTCACGAGTTCTCACATAAATTGGCCAATCACGTCAGGCTCCCCGATTTTAGTCTCCCATAGACGATATATACACAGGTGTGCATACAATTTCCAGTCTGGTTCCTCTGCTTCCAAGTCTCTTATATACCACCAGTACCATAAAGTCCTGAGGCTGCAATCTACTGGCTCTTCTCCAAACCAAGCTTCGCAGCCAGCTCAATACCCTCCACCACCTTGTCAGGGGCGCTCAAAAATGGCGAGTGTGAAGCGGCAATGCTGAAAGTCGTGATATTACTTCCCATAGATGCTGTAATACCTTGCTGCACTGGAAGGGGAATTGCCTTATCGTCCTCGCAGAATATGTAAGTGCATGGCATATGGTTCCAAGGCTCGTGTGTCGATTTGCCACTGAAGACGGCAGAGGAGGTATGTGATAGTTGCGCAATCCATTTCTGTTGGTCTTCCGATGATAGGTCGTGGTAGAAGATATTCCCTGGAGTATCGGCATAGCAATAGTCGCCCTGTGGAATTTTAGTAAATAAATTGATACTTTGAAAGCACTTATACCTTGAAGTTCATCCAAGGAAGCGGGTTACCTCCGAGAGCATCAAGAAGACTGACCCCCTTCGGCAGCGCAAATGCACTCAAGTACACAAAGTTGATAACCCCGCCTTCCTTTCCATCACTCTTCCTTTGAGCAAAGCTCAGGTCTTCAACAGCACAAGATCCAACGACCCCTCCATATGAGTGAGTAACGAGGACGACTTTCTTTCCTGCCTCGACCAGCTTCTCAATGGCAGCGCGGGTATGAACAGCATCGTCAGATAGGTCTTTATTTGGGGGCTCGGCTCCAATGGATGGCAGCGCCACAGCTTCAGTTGGATAACTCATGGGCTTGAGTGATTCTCTCACAGCATCAAAGCTGGCAGGAAAGTGCCATGCTCCAGGCACGAAAAGGATGGTTGGCTTTTCAGTCGACATTTTGGATAGATCTGCAGGTTACTACCGGATATATCTACTTCTCTAGATTAGCAAATTTTTTAGGACCAGGAGAGAAAAGAACGCAAGAGATCGGAAGTTTGACTGTCTCCAGATATGAAGCCATGCCCGCCTCCAAGCCAAGAAACTCGATACGAACCAGCGGATTTTACTACCTGTTTTCTACTGCAACACTGCAAATTCAATGTGCAGTCTGCTACATAATGAATACTTGTACCAAAACAACCCACTGGATAAGACCTTACACGCGATCAACAACTACAAGTGTATACCCTGCTTTTTGACGCTTCTTACACGCAAGCTCAAATTTGCTTACAAACTAGCTATCCTTACAATCAAATATACTCCACATAGCTCGGCAGCTGATATCTCGAAAGCATAGACCAGCCAGAAAGTTCTCCTTCATGCCCTCACTGGAAAAAGTTAATTTAGTGGATCACGGCTTGTCGACAGACTTGTGAAACACCATAGATAGAAATGCCAGGGATTCTAAGCTGAAAACGAAAGAACTTATACATAGCATAAGAAAGCAATGTTTTTCAATTATTCAAGCTAGGAGCAAAATATCAAAAGTTTTGTAAAGGCAGCATTGCCAAACATTTAGTGTTTTGACGGAACCGTATGGCCTACTGCGAAGTATGTACGTACGATGCGAAAGGGACTTTTGTGAGTCATGAGTCATGAAGCTGATAGCCGGGTCCACATGGCACAAATTTATCCTTCATTCGATGATGGGTGATGGGTTGACGAAGATAACAAAAGTAATATGTTATATATGCCCAAGCCTACTTGTGGTGTCGCAGTCATGGCTGTTGGTGTGTGTTAAAGTGGCAATCATTGTGTTCCGCGGGGCTTGCCAGGGCCTGACCCACCAATGTTCTTTGATCCCAGGGAAGGTATGATTATGGAAACTAAATGGGTTACTTCACTTCTACTGCACGGGACTCGGGATTCTGTATCAATACCCAAGAGCGGGAATAGATCAGCGGTTGATAGAGCTCCGTGCGGAAATAGTCTCGGTCGTGCATAACGCTGCGGGAACTACCAGCTGTCAAACCAAATTCTGCAAGGATCATGGCTAGAGTACTAGGAAAGCTACTGGCCAATAGGTGAAATATAGAAGGGTTAATGTCGGACAATCTAAAAATTTGAGACAGTTGCAAACTTGTTCAATCATTCTTCCTTTTTCTCCCTTATAAACATCCACAATAGAATTCAGAAGGTCAATGCTCTACTTAAGAAACAAATAGAACTTAGCCTTCGCTGTAATTCTAGAAATAGAAGTGCCACTAGATTTTCTTTTGGTTGCATCGATGGACGACTCGAGTAAGTGAGGTCCTCAATAATACATTGGCCAATGCTACCAGTCGAGCCTTTCGGAGACTTACTTAGCTGAGTCGCGCCTCGCTTGAAAAAGGTCCCGGCGCCGTGTCAGGATCACGTGCAGTGGAGTCACATGGCTGAGATGCATCGCTCCACGATCTATATTTCAGCCAATCAAATAACACCAAGATGTCTTTTCTGCGAGCTGATCGACTAACAAATTAGACTTGCTAAAACAGGGACTGCAAGTAATTATCCTTGAGACCAAGTATGTAGTACGATAGCCGGTTCGCACGCGCTCGCGGATATCTATTTCCTTTTGGCCCTGTGGTAGCGTGGTGAAGCTATCGACCCTTGTTCCTAACATAAGATCACAATCTTTGTCACAGAAGCCCCATAGTCGGGATCACTCAAGTTTAGTTTCGAAAGAAAGGGGAAAGATATCAGAAAGTCCTGTTCCTCGTAATAGTTCACGCCAGATTATATATCATAGAAATTCTGGTTTCTACTTGATCAAATCAATACCGATCTGATAGGTGTTGAAAGTAACAAAATGGCGGAAGTGGGCCTCATAGACCACCGACAGTCTGAGCTCAGAGCTACAAGTGTCGCAATCGTTTTGCTTGCAGTTGTTTTTGTTGTACTTCGATTTATATCTCGGCGAATGGCCGGGATTCGAATTGGGAGTGATGATGTTATGATACATATTGCTTTGGCAAGTTCAGCTTGTTGCACCTGTTTTTCTGTAAATCGAGAGCTGACTACTTCCAGTTTTTTCTCTTCATGGCTTTTGCAACATGTATAATTGGTATGTTTTTCTCAAACTGGCATAAACTCTAAATCGCTGAGACCTTTGAAAGGACTGTATTTTGGACTGGGACGACATACGTCAGCGCTGAGCACCTCCGAGATTGTATCATACGCAAAGGTGAAGATATTCATAAACGCTCCTTGAGATGTCATGTTAGCTGACATGGATATAGTCACTAATAGCATTCGAATGTCTGTACGTCACCTGTGTATGCTTCACTAAGCTATCGCTGCTATTGATGTACCGCCGCATTTTCCCAGTTCGCAGTATTAAGATCGGATCACTCATCCTCGGCGGCCTTTCCGTGGCATGGTGTATCTCCATCATTATGGTGTCGGTCTTGCAGTGTATTCCAATCCAGAAGATCTGGAATCCTACTCTTGAGGGTCATTGTATCAATCTGAAAGCATCTTTTATTGGAAATGCTATCCCTAATATCTTGACCGATGTGGCGATCCTGGCGTTGCCCATGCAGCAAGTCTGGGGCTTACATACTAGTGTCATGCAGAAGACACACATCTCATTTGTCTTTTTGCTTGGAAGTTTGTAAATTATAATCTGGTGCATCCATATAGATTTGTACAGCACTAATGATATGGCCAGCGTTATTTTCACCAGTATTTACCGCTTCACGACTCTTTTCCAATTTCAGCCTGCAGACATCACTTGTATGTATCCTCGCCAAGATTATCCAGCCAGTGAGCAAACGAACCGGGAGCTAAAAGCTAACAACTTGACTACTTCCAGGGACACTAGCAACAGCGGAAGTATGGTGCGTAGTCGAATCAGCCTCGGGAATAATGTCCGCCTGCCTGCCAACCTTGGGCCCTCTCGTCCAGTTTTCCGTTCGAAAGCTCGGTATAACAAGCGTTCTAAGTCGGTCATCGCAAGCACGCGCTTCCTCTGCGGGTCCACATTTACAAACAATCGGCGGATCAGGCGGACCAAAGAAGAGCATGAACACTAGTGGGAAGTTCGACAAGTCTAAAAACATAAGAGAAGGCTCAAGGCCGTTTCGCAGATTATCTGCGGTGTCCGGAATTAGCGACGAGAGAGGGGACTGGAAAGGGGGAAGTAATGTAAGGGCCACTGTGAGGGCGCATGATGTAGAGAGTGCGAAGAGTGTGGGGAGTGATGAAATACCACTGCATAATATTGTTGTGAATACGGAGATAGAGTGGACCGAATCCGGATCAAGGAAGACCAGTAAGAACAGTGATGAGAGACAAATGTACTAAGATGACGTGAGTCGTTGAATTATTGTATTATGAGGATAATCTGCAGTGATTGGGGAAGGCGTTCTTTGACTTGGACTCCAAAATTAGTAAGCAATCAGAATATATCAAGTCTCAATGTTTGATTAGGAGTTTCATAGAAGAAGACAATATCATGTTGCCACGAAGATCTTGCTAGCCTAGTAATTATATTGAGGGCTAAACTTCATCGTGCTGCAAGCAGTATTTCAAACTACCGAGTGTCAGCTTCTCCTCAAGGTTTTTGAACAGCCACAGGGCCTGAAACCATGAATCTAGAAACAGCGAGAAAGAAACGCCTAACTATTATTCCGAGGATTTTATTGGTGGTCAATACTGGTGATAACTACAACCCTAAGGGGGGTAATAATCTAATCAAATATTACTATAGAATCAAGATTAGAATTAGAAATCCTTAACACTCTTTTCCATTTATATACTGAAATAATAATCTATATAACGTGATTTATCATCGAATGAACTATATCATTAAGTGAACCACTTTCACCTTAATAAATATAACCAATTTCAATATGCGATTTATCAATCATTTATTATATAATCTAATAATAAAAAAACACATTTGCTTTTAATTATCAAAACTATTAAAAATAACAAAAAACTAAGTTTTCAAAAAGCTTTTTAATTATATAATATTTCTTATATAATTTTTATTTATAAAATAAATAATTTAATTTTATATATCAAAACTCAAATAAATCGATGTAAATTTATAGAATTAAAAAAAAGATTATTATTTAATATATTCTTAATATAGATTTAAAAGATTTTTTATTTAAATATAAAAAAATAAAAGATATAGCAAATTATATTTTTGAATTAAAAGATATAAAATATATTGAAAATTTTTGAATATATTGATTTATAAAATATTGAATCAAATTAAAGATATATTTTAATTATATTTATAATTTTCAAAAAGCTTTTTATAAAAATCCTAAATTTATTAAAAAATAATTTTAATTAATTATAAATATATAAGCGAAATATAATATTTTAAATAAAGATTTCTATAATTTTAATAAAATAGATTTTATAATAAAAATTATATATATAATAATAATTATTATTAATATTAAAAGATATAATAAAAATAAATCAATATAATTAGATAATCGAGAATGGATTATAATAATAATATATGGAAATAGAAAGAGTGAAATTATTTTTTTATTTCTAATAATTTAGGATTAGATTTATTTTTTTAATTAATATATTAAAATTGATTTTTTTATGGAATAGATTATTAAATTTATATCAAATAAATAAATAAATAATGAGATAAATTTAAAATAATTGAAATATTTTGATAAATATATTAAAAATCGAAGAGAAAGCAAATATCAAATATTAATATTAAATAGATATAAAAGTTATAAATCAATAGTTTTTCAAATATATTATAAAAAGAATAATATTATATATTTATATTTATTATTATATTTAAATTATTTAATTTAATTATTTAATATTAATTATTTTAATATTCTGAAATATTTATATAATAATTAAATCAATAGATTTATTAAGATATATATCAATTATATTTCAAAAATTGAATTCTTTATAACTTT